ATAAACTGATCTTTGGTGTCAACACATCAACACTTCTAAATATTCCAACAAACTTTTGGCTTCGTGAGAATTTCTGCAGTAACCAACAAGCAGCGACAGGCTTTCAACAACTCACTTCACAGACCCCCAAATATTAAAAACACCGTCTCCAGGTTCTCATATATCAGACGTCTGTGTGTGACGATGTGTTTTATTGGTGGAGCTGAACTGGGGGCAGGAAAGGACTGTTTAGCAGGACTGCGCGAAACACAACGGACACATCTGTCCATTATTACGACTGCTCCACCCACAGCTGCAGGCGGAGACGCGATACATGAGTCAAAGCTTCACACGCTGAATAAATCAACACTGAGGGAACAAAGTGGACTCTGCAGATTCGTGGATGCCGGACCTCCTCTATCATCATGCTGTAACCATGGTGACGCCATGCGGTCCAAAAGCTGAGCTCAGTTTGTCTTCAGTCACACATTTATTATCACCATTTAGCCACCAAATGTTGCATTAATGTTAAAGGATGTTAGAAACTGAGCTCTGCAGCTCCATCAGCTCCACCACGACTCTGAAACTGCTACGAAACACTAACTGTGAGCGACTCCGTTCACTTTCTGAACCAGGTTATTCTAGAAAGACTTTCTTGTAGTTTTTTTTACTGATATCTGTTAATTATTGTAATTATTTCCCTTCACTCGTTTCCTTTTTCTCTGCAGTTACAGCAACACAGAAAAATCCAAACTGGTCTAAATTAATTGAACTGAAATTGTTGGAGAAAACAATGTTGTGTGATGGAGGACGGGCAGCTTACAGGTCCTGCTCCACCTTCTTGTCCAGAGCATACTCCAGGTCTGTCACCAGCATCTTCTGGTAAAGGTCCTGCAGGGCCTGCCGGGACGTCCACACCTCTGCTGCCCCCAGCTTTGAATCTGAACACACGAACACACACGAACACACACACAGACACACACACACACACAGACACACTAATCTGAGACTTTAACAGTGAAAACACAGGAAACAGCTTCAGTTCAAATGTGCTGGTTTATACGTTTGCTTGGGGAGAAAGGGGTGCTGGTTTGATTCCAGTCAGAGACACGAATCCACTTTACGTTGGGTCAGGAAGGGCACGCAGCCTCACACTGCCAAAGCAAACACAAGCGACCCCCTGGGAGACCCCCTGTGACAAGGGAGCAGCTGAAAGTCCCTATAAATACTCGATACACTGTCTCTGAGACACTGGAGCTTATTTTTGAAACAAAGTACAGCAGAAGCTTCTTGCTGCTGATAACATTTGTGCTACTTTAAACTTCCTGTCACGGGCAGACGGGGGAGCCGCAGCCCGGTTAGTCGATAACATCTCAGAAACAACAACTAGCAGCACGTGCTTTTGTACGTGACCATACAAAGGAGATGCTGCAAGCGCGAGAGGGCCGAGCTGTCAAACATACGGCCTCGGGACCAGAAGCGTCCCACCGAACGGTCCAATCGGGACAAACCACTTTGGAAAGACTGTGACCAACTGGAAGCCAAGAATCCAAAAATACAACAAAGATCTGTGGAGCAGTTCAGATCCTGTATGAGGCAACAATGGGACAACATTCCTTTCCCAAACATCCAGCAGCTGCTCTCCTCGGTCTCCAGCCGTTTATAGACTGTAGTTAAAAGCAGAGGGATGCTGCGCAGTGGAAACTTTAATTACACCTGCTGCTGCCCTCAAATTCACAATGAGCTCATTTAACTTAAAGTTTTCTCACTTTAGAAGTTGACAGAGTCACATTTTTGGGATTTTGTGCACCTGCAGCAGAGCAAAGCATCACGTGTCACCTGTTTTACACACAGTGAGCGTCTGCCATTGTTTTTCTTCTTCACATTTTTATTTATTTGAATTCTTCTGTTTCATTTTGAAGTCTTTTGAAGTGGAAATACAAACCTTATAAGCAGCCCTGCATTCCTGCAGTTTACAGAGCAAATATGCAACATTCATGCAGGACATATGCATGAGTGTTGGACACGCCCCTCCCTGTAGCTGCCCGGTGGAGGACGTGTACATGGACGTATATGATTGGTGGAGTAGAAAACACAACACAACCAATCTGATCTAAAGTGTAACAGAGATTATCTGGACCCAAGACCTGATTGTTTCTACTAAATTCTGGCAAAGGTCACCTTGACGACAGCAGACACACAGTTTGAAGCCTATATGACAAAAACAGCATCAATCCAAGAAGTCTGAAATGTTCATAAACTCCAGCCATGATGGCGTCCAGCATCTCCGTGTTCCTGCTCCGACATGCCTCCAGATAACAACATGCAAATGAACCCTCATAACTGAGCTGGGCTCGCTGGAGGCGGCTCAACGAGACAAACTGGAAGGTTTCCAGTCATCGTGAGAAGCTGCTCTGCTTTAAAATCAGGCTGAGCCAGCAGGTCTAATGGATTCACTGGTCTGCTGTGAGACCAAACGACTTCAGCTTCAACCAAACTGGAAGTAACACGCCGTCTGTGTCGATTACAGCTGTGGTCTGGTAACAGACGCTCTCCTTCCTTCTGATGATCGTTTTTTTACAATTACAGATAACTTTCTGAAAGCTAATGTAGGATTTCTGTTTGTGTAGCTCTGTGGTTACACACTCACAGAGGGGACTGAAGCCACAGAGGCGTAGTTATGTGCAGTCATTCAAAAAGCCAGCTTAGAGCCCGGCTGTGATGACCTGTGCTATGAAGGGAGAATACTAATTGGTTGACTGGTTTTGGCGGATAATGTCCCGACCACACGGACCGTGTACCTGCCTGCAACCAAAGCTCAACCCTGACTGAACCACAAACTAGAAATCAGCTGGTGCCAAAAAACAACACATTCTAGACATTTTTGTTTTACTTGTGGATCAAATGCTTATTAACCCGGAGCTGCATCTGTGTTTGTCTGTTTTCTCTAACTCGTGATATTTAGCTGAGCTACAGCTTGACGTTGCTAAAACACTGATTTAGTTCTTTTTAGCACGAAGCAGACGCCTGCAAGTCAGCCCCAAAAACAGCAGATTCCCCATGTGTGTGCAGGCTCCGCGTAATAATAACTGCAGAGCGACAGAGGAGCTCAGTCACACCATCAGCTGAGCTGCTCCAAAGAAATGAAACATTTAATCACATCAGCAAAATGAGGAACCAGCAGGCTTTGTTCTCCCTGAGGCTCTTCAAAGAGTTAATCGTGTCACAGAAACGTTCACCTGTTTCAGCTTACACACCTCACAGCACATAAAAGTCTCTGAAACAGAAATCATCACTTTGAATCAGTCTTTGAGTTTTAACTATCGTTCATCTAAAGTAAACTAAATAAGTGTGAAGTAAATAAACCCTGGCGTCGTCTTTTACAGAGAGGTGAAAGGAAAGAAGTGACGAAGGTCTGTCAGCGTGCACGTCGACCCGCTCGATGCAGGCCGATGAGTCAAAACAAAGTCCGTCTGCTTCACCGTCGTTTTAAAGCAGGCGCCTCGCACACATCAGCAGCACTTTAACCACCAATTTTCATCCAATTTGCATTTTTCCATTTCATTGATGACAAGAAGAAAGTGCAGAGCGGCTCGTCTCAGCGAGCTACACACCACAGCGGGACGCTTTCAGATTTAATGTCAGATATAAAAAAAAATTATATTCAGGGTTTTTTTATTGAACTAAGTAACATTTTTTGTAGTTTCTGCTGTAACAGGAATTTACCAACTTTTTTAATTCTGCTTTCCAACTTTTAATATTTTTCAAAGATGATTTAAGAAACTTCTATTTATTTATTTATTAGCCCACACAAATGCCAATAAAAACAAATAAATAACAAAGACTTGACATAACTGGAGAGAGAACAAATTACTGAGAGAAAAGCTGAAGTTTCATCTTGTTACATCTTCTCTTTTCACAGCGTACGGTCTAAATAC